AATTTTAAACACAACTGACTTGACTGGACTGGACTGGACTTATAGTTTAATTGGGCTAATAAGAAAAGGTTTCATGAACAAAGGATTTTAACCATTTTTTCCTCGTTCTCTTTTATTTTTTCTCTTTCTCTCGGTTTCTTCCTTGCTATTTCTTCCCTTCTCTAGCACAGACAGGTACCTGGATGGAAGATTAAATACTTTTTTCTCTCACAGTGTTGTATGTCAGTTGGTTAAACTTTTAAGTTTATTGTATTTTGATTGATGCTGTTGGCGCAAGCGATTTAATGAAGTTACTTCCACAGGCTCCAGGAAGAGGGGCCAGCGTGGAGGATTGTTATTATTGTTGTTGTATTGTGTATGTTTTATTTTAATTGTAGGTAGACCGGTTGACGACAAAGGCTTGTAAGGGTGACAGATGGGATGAGAGCACACAGGTATCCCTGGAGAAGTCCAGTATGTAACACAATTCAGCTTCAAGTGAACAGATGCATGTAAGAATAGCATTTTATTTTAGTTTTACTAATTCTGTTTTAGGATGACATTACAGTGTAAGAATACACCTATCAGTAGCAATAATAACCATCAGGGTGTCCAATAATTCAGAAATAGTTTTATTCACTAAAGAAGTAACCACAGTCAGTTTTTCCAGGTCCAGGTCATGGATTCCACAGATAAAATAATCAAAAGGCCATGCAGGGTGTTTAAATTCGCAAGCTTTGGTGTCCAGCTTTTCTCATCAGGAGGGAGGAACTCTGACCGAGGAGACAAACTCACATCAGACTGGGCCCTGCTGAAAAGAGGTACAGGACAAGACCCCACCAGGTGGTGGACAGAACATCACATGCCATCAGTCCCCAGAAGGAGAGTGGCACCTGTACGACCCCACAAGGGCACCCCTGCAGAGGAGAGGAATCGATCGCTGGACCACATGGAGGATGATCGGAAGACAGCTCCCCACTACACCTGGAGGAGGGGACAGGACCTTCGTGGGAGCTCATTCTTTGCCCCTTTGTTCTGGTTGGAAAAAGGCAGTAGCAAACATCGGAGAAGGAGTCTTCGCTCTGCCTGAAGTCGGTCGGGTGGATCGGGTAAGGACGGAAGATTACCAGCCCTGACCGTGAAGAACAGAAGACGCGTCAAACTGATTTTAGTTTTGTCCCAATACACAAACGTCATTTAGAATGTTTAATCAGACTGATAAGGTTCTGAGGACTTTACATGAAGATAACTCCGCGGGCCGAATCCCGCCGAGCACCAAAGGACCCTTGTGGACGAACAAGGGCTCCCACCGCAAGCTCAAGAACCGAAGACCTGCTAGATAGAAATGTTTAAATTGAGGGTGTTGGCTTTTCCTGTTTAATATGAGTGTCTTGTACCTTTCAGTCATTCTGAAAAACAACCAGAGAAGGGTCGTGGATTCAATTGGAAACTTAAATATTCATTTAACTTGACTATAAACTTAACTTGACTATTAACTTAAATATTCATGTTAACTAACTATTCAAATATTTACTCCATTCAATTGGAAACTTAACTATTCATTTACCTTAACTATTCAAATATCTTACTCCATTCAATTTGGCATCTAATCATTCTAAAATACCACGAGGTATTTTAAAGGTGGTTTAAAATAGAGTTTCACTTATTTATCTTTTTGTATTTTTATAAAGGTTTATGTGTGGTACTTTTCACAGGTGTTGGATCAGGGGTCTGGTCCAGGACCCCTGGGGAGTGCAGTAAGTTTGCGTCACGTCCATATTGATAAATAAATCCATAAAGAGGGTGAACTCCCATGAATATGGGAGTTCAAAAGAGGGAATGTTGGATTTAATATTTTATACAGTTTTATAATTTCTATCAAGCACTCAAATGTCATGTCACATAAAGGGTGTGCGTGTCTTTCTTCCAAGGTTGAACTATGTTTATAGAAAATGTTTGCTAATTCTAACTAGTTGACCTTTAAATATAATCTCATAGTAGCTAAGGATAATTTTACAAGTTCACATTTGATAAATTACAAGCAATCAAATCAGACCAGAGAGCAGACTGATTAACATAAACAAAGTAGAACACAGCTCTTTAATTTAGACAATATAGTTTGACTAAGTAAAATCAAATTAAGAGTATAACCATGATCCAAATAAAAACACGAACATAAGTTGGATAATATAATTATTCCTAGAAATAAACAACTATTTCAAATCAGTGTTATCACTAAGGTATAATCACGTTAAACAGTGTTAACAGTTTAAAAGCAGACAAGGAAACTAAGATGAATCTGCCTTAAAAAACAGCATCACCAGGCCTCCAACAGATATTGAATTAACACCCAGGAGGTAGGTAATAATTAATAGTTATTAATTATTACGTATAAACAATTTAGACACGAATCATTTTATATCCCTAAAGTATAATAGCAAGTTAAACTTTAAACAAAAGCCGATTTCGGTGTACCAAAACTTATCTGAAATATAGACGTTAACGTCCTTGAGGGGGCGGGCTAAGTCGTAACCATAGCGACAGAAGCTGAACCAATCAGGAAGCTAGCCTTCTCAAACAGGGATAAAAGTCAGAGTCAGAGTCAGAGTCAGAGTTTCTTTATTGTCATTCGCACCTCATGTGGTACATGTGGTGGAGCGAAATTATGTACACGGGGTCCCAGTTACATCCAACAATAAAATGTATAAGAAAAACAGTAATAACATCTAAGATATGAACTAAGAAAAACATCAACTAAATATACACTAAGCACTCATAACATAAAAACATTGAACATCAGCACAAACATGAACATGAGTCTGTGAGCAGATGTGCACGCATGAACACATCAACATTGAAACAGATCAGCAGCAACATGAAACAGATCAGCAGCAACATGATATGGTTTTTCACAGTGATTATTCTAGTTAGAGATTCATGAGTCTAACAGCCTCAGGGTAGAAGCTGTTCCTCAGTCTAGTGGTTCTACACTTAATGCTCCTTAACCTCCTTCCTGAGGGGAGTGGGGCAAAAAGTGTGTGTGCTGGGTGGGTGGGGTCCTTCATGATGCAGGTGGCCCTCTTCTTGCATCTGGAGGTGTAGATGTCTGTGATGGTGGGGAGACTGACTCCAACAGATTTCTGTGCAGCCTTCACCACTCTCTGCAAAGCTTTTCTTTCTGCAGCTGTGCAGCCTCCATGCCACACATTGATGCTCGAGCACAGGATGCTCTCCACTGCACACCTGTAGAAGGAGGTGAGGACTGAGCTTCCCAGACCAGCTCGCCTCAGCCGTCTGAGGAAGTAGAGTCTCTGATGAGCTTTCTTGATCAGGCTGGTGGTGTTGAGGCCGGAAATGACGCACGCCCACCGAGCATTTTCCGGGAGGCGCACATGGCGGTTCGTTCTTAATGCTCCATTTATATGCATATATCTTATTAATGTAATTGTTTGTCTTTGAATATCTGTAACCCATGTTGTGTCAAATAAATCTTTTATACGAAGGGCGCGTCGACGCCTCAGCCATTTTGAACACGACGTGGTACTCTAACCACGACACTTCACTGAAAGATCCTTAAATGATCGTCACTGACATGAGGCCTCTGTCGTTGGTTGAAAACGAAGGCTTCACTACAATGATCCACACTTTTAATCCAGGTTACAATAATCCACACTTTTAATCCAGGTTACACTATTCCCTCAAGGACACATTTTACAAAGTAACTACATATTGTGCAGGTATAAAGACACATTTGTATATATTTTTGTGTACATTTATTTTTTTAAGCTATTTGACTAACTTTTATTTTTTATTATTCAATATTTTACTAACAGAATAGTCAAATAGCAACCTGTTTTTGGGTGAATTGCTATGTCAGTCAAATGTTAAATTTTGGAATAAAGGGGTGGAAATTAAAACTTTTTTTTTTTTTTGCCGATTCATCGAAAAAATAATCGGCCAATGAATCGATTATTGAAATAATCGTTAGTTGCAGCCCTAATAATATCACTTGATTATTTACTTGTTTATTGATTTTTTATAAACACATTTTTCTCATTCATCTGAGACTGATGATTTCTTATTAAAAAGAGAAGACATTTTCTGCTCTGCTGTTCTCTCTGCGCGTGTGTCTGTGTAGTTGTGTGTCATATACATTTGTGCTTATGGGGTGTGTAAGTGTATGCGTTGCTCTACACATGGTTTTGATTATTTCAGGCTTCGAGGTCCAGAAGCACAACATGGTAACAAGCAGAATAACACAGAATGAACATGTCCTGACATGCCCATTGTTATAGGATCAGGCTGAACTCCGCATATCTTTGACACAGTAGAAACCATCAGAAAACAAATGCTACAAGACAAGGACTTAATCAATAGGACCAACTTCACCCCGGACAAGATCTGCACTCTGTTGGATCTCTGCCTCTCCACCACTTATTTCAAGTTCAATTACAGTTTTTACAGACAGAAGCACGGCTGTGCCATGGGATCTCCAGTGTCACCCATTGTTGCCAATCTCTACATGGAGGAAGTGGAACAGAGAGCCCTAAACTCCTTTGAGGGAACAACGCCAAACCATTGGTTCCGATATGTGAATGACACCTGGGTCAAAATCCAAGCTATGGAAATAGAAGCGTTCACCTGACACATTAACTCGGTCAATAACAACATAAAGTTCACCAGAGAGGATGCAAACGAAAACAAACTGCCTTTTTTGGACTGTTTGGTTCAGATGGAAAGAGAGGACAGCCTCAACATTGAAGTGTACAGAAAACCAACCCACACAGACCAGTATCTTCTGTTTGACTCCCACCATCCACTGGAACACAAACTGTCATCAGAACTTTACAGCATCGGGCCGAACGCATCCCCACAAAGACAGAAAGTGTAAGGATTGTACCATTTCCTGTTTCGGTCTGTGTTTGTGTTCCCCACTCTGCTTTTTGTGCTCTTGTTGTTCTGCTCTTTGTGTGGTTTCTGTTCCTGTGTATCTGGTCCTGTTTTCCACTCACTCCTCAGTCTGCCTCTCCACTCCTCAGTCTTTATCATTCACACCTGTCCCTCATCAGCCACCTGCCCAGGTGCTCTCATTACTCACTCTCCCTCTGTCTTATAAAAAGCCTTTCTCTCCTCCACTCCTGGTCCGGTCACTGTTCTGTATTCACAGACATCTCAGTCCTCCTCTGTCTTGTCTGTTTTTTGTCCACCTGATGATCTGCTCTGCCTGTGTACTCTGATGTCCTGTTCAGCCTTGTTTCTGATCCTGTTTTGCCAAAGTAAGTTTTGCTGCACCGACAGCCTTTTGTTTTGTTATTTAAATAAATTATTTTTATTTAAACTCCTGCCTCGCTCGCCTCCCTGCAAATGGGTTCCAACTGTGAGGATTGTGACAGTATTAAAACAATTAAAGACCTGAAATATTTCAGTTGGTGTGCAATGAATCTGAAATATATGAAAGTTTCATTTTTATCATTACATTATGGAAAATAATGACCTTTATCACAATATGCTAATTTTTTTAGAAGGACCTGTATACACATCCTGAGTCGTTGCCTGCTTGCCTGCACCACTGGGTTCACCAGCACCAGCCTTTTGTGACAAGACATTTACAAAGATGGTGGTTTTTTTTTTTCCAGAATTATCCTCAAAATTTAACCTGCTTCCTTTCCAATTGTTTCTCTATTTTCAAATTGGACACTGTACTTCAACATTGTTTCCAAATTTTCCAACTTTCCCTGCTGACCCATGGGTTGACCTTCCGGTTCTTAGGCCTAATCAGAAATTGTCCCTTACTAATATTTACATGTACGGATCAGTGGTGACAATTGAGTCAGACTCATTTGGTAAAATCAGAACAGCCTGGGAGCGTGAATTAGGTGCTGAAATGTCTGAATCATGGTGGGATAAAGTGATTAATATGAGGTGCCATGTAGGACATAATCTATTTTTCTCTCACACACACTACTATTCTCTCTCACACACACTACTATTCTCTATTTTTTTCTCTCACACACACTACTATTCTCTCTCACACACTACTATTCTCTCTCTTTCTCTCACACACACCACCATTCTCTCTCACACACACTACTATTCTCTCTCTTTCTCACACACACACTACTATTCTCTCTCAAACACACTACTTTTCTCTCTCACACACACTACTATTCTCTCTCACACACTACTACAGACTCGGTCACACACACTCACAAGACCAGAGAGAAGCGATAAATGTGTGTGTGAGAAATAATACTATTCTAAATGAGCGGCAATAGGTGTGTGTGTGTGTGTGTGTGTGTGTGTGTGTGTGTGTGTGTGTGTG